TGTAGGCAGTTAAAGTCATCATCACTTTAAAGATACAAAATTAAAGAATGACATAAAATCTTCATAATGCTCCTGGTTTTGTGGATTACATTTTGGTCAAAGCTGACATGAATATGACTATGATACTGCTCTGTTTTACAAAAAAGAGTTTGCAACAGATTTAACACAGTAAGAGAGCTGATTCTGTCGACTTGTAAAACACAATGATTTAATTTTGTGAGATAAAGTCAGGTATCCCCTTTTTATATTTTCAGCTTGTAATTTCTAATGATGCACAAGTTTCACTGTGTCATTCTTTTAGTTGCATTGTGGTTGACTAGAAGTGTAACATTGATTCACCTAAATATAATGATCACATCCCCAATAGTCCTTTCCCCTTCATGTTCCCTTAGGACAACAGTATCTGCATACTCAAGGACTGGCTTGGTTGTTTGCCTGTTGCCCTCTACAGCTCAGGGAAACCAGTGGAACAGGAGCAAGTGTCTAAAAATACCAGTGACTCAACCACTCTATGTTCTCCGTGGAAAACTAACCACAGTCCATCTAATAATATTGGCAAAGCAGTTGCATCATCAACCTGCCCCTTAGTCTTTTCTGCCCAGCCTCTCAAGTGATTTCATGAGTAGAAAAATTCTCAGCTCAAAATTCCTTAATCTGCCTTGGAACCGGTGCTACTAAACATTAGTTTCCTACTATGGTCCAGATAGCAGGAGCTGCTCTTCGCAAAATTTTAACTTTTGTTACGTATGAATGAACGATAGCAGCTTTTCAAGACTGTTGCCAATGGCCAATATATGCTCAATTTACTCTCATGCTGGTTTTGGTACCTGGGATCACATGTTTTTATTCAGTGTCAGTCACACTAACAGAAGGATCAGTGCAAAAATTGACATGATGCCATTGGCTTTGGATCCTTTGCCCTATTTTACCCTCCAAGAAGAATACAAAGAGCTCAATATACTGAGAGCTATAATCAAAGCTATTTTCTGAATTGGTGTATCCTGTCTCACTTTTTGGATTGCATCATCATTTTATATTATGGAGAACAGATGGTTTAACCTGTTTAGCAAGAGTTCAATGTGTCATTTTCTAGATGATACAACGTTCAGCAGCTGAAAACTGTTAATTGACTCCTACTTCTATCTATAATATCTTAAACCTGGAAAATAACCCAAGTTTCCCTCCCTCCTTACAATTGAACGCAAGGCAGAAATCTGAGGAAATTGGGGGCCTTGTTTCGATCAAGACAACACTGTCCTCCTGAAGATGGCCACCACTTTTACAACCTTTGCCAAGGAGGATATATTTTCACCTTTTTGTGGTTTAGTTTGTTTGTAAGCAAGATTATGCAAAAAAGTGCTTTACAGATTACCACAAAACTTTGTGGAAATCCCATTACATTTTTGTTGATTTCTCAGAGACTTATTCATGATCTTGATGAAAAAAATCAGTCAGGTTTTGGGGACTGATATTTATGAGTGGGTGTAATTTGGTTCAAATGCAAATAAAAATCTGAATTTAGTGAATTAAAATGTGGTTTCATAAGGGGGCTGTTGGAGGAGGTATGTATTCTTCTGAGCGGCATTGTGGTTATCATTGTTTTAGCTGTAGCATGGTAATACATGTTGAAATGTTATTGTTGATTTTATTCTTTTGTTGTATTTTTTCATGTAGATCAAAATCTCATACAGTGCACTTCTCTTTGGTAATTGAGTTTCCTTTCTTTCCTCTCACAGGCATGCACTGGAATCGACAACATTGCAGAAGCAATCACTCTGTTAGAGCTTAATAACTGGGATTTAGTGGTAAGTTTGTTATCTGTAGGCTTTGAACCTTGCTCTTTAACAGACAGGCTTAGTCCAGCTAGAGTGCAAGTTCAAGAGGGCATTGGACATTCAATAACAAACACTGTGTTTTTATGTTGGCCAAATTATTTCTTCATTTTACCTTGTGTGTTTTATGAAGCAGGCAGCATCTTCACGGGATTATCTCTCTTCTGCAGTGACTGTGAAAGTCTATGTGTGCTGAGTTCATGTTGAGTTTGATAAACTATGTGAAAGTATGAGTCCTGCCAAGTTTGTATGACGTCCTGATGAGTCTGTAAAACAAGCAGCCTGTTACAGTGAAGTGCATGCTGTAAGGGGTCAGTCTATAATTAGACAGATGCTGGCAGGAGCTCAAAGCAGCAGCAGCAGCAGCAGCACCAGTCCAAGCAGTGGCAGGACAGATGGTGGGGCCAGGACTCACTGCACCTGTAAATCTGATGACTTGCAGTTCCTTTGCAGTAGCTTGTAGTTTTTGTAAACATTGACAAAACAAATCTGCTGCTCTGTGTGCGAGTGTATGCTGGGTGTTGTTGGGGAGTGGAATGGTAGGGTCTAAAAACAATAGACACATTCATTACTTATAACATGTATTACTTTAGCTCTTTGCTGATTGGGGAAAAAACAAATACTTTATTCTAGGTGGGGTGGCCACAAGGTAAAAATATCTAAAACATGAGTAACAAAAACACCCAAAGAGCTTCTGGTAACACTTCTGCAGTGTAATATGCTCCTGTCTAGTCAGTATGTCATATTTATGCCACAGTATGGCTAAATACACTACAGTACTCAGTGTAGTACAACTGTGCTATCCTAGCTATTATTATTATTATCTGTCTCACTGAATACATTTGTCTGCTTTAGTGTGAATTATTGTATTTTTTTCTGGATAAGAACCGATGATAAACATGTTTACAGTCTGCACTGAGGGTTTATACTTGAACGCTAGAATTCTTCTCAGTAGGAGAAGCACAACTGTTACTGATAAAACCAAAAGTGTCTTTGTGATATTCAAGGTCCCACCGAGGTGTGACTGCGAGGCAGCGTGTATGATACCAAGACCCAGAAACTGAGGAAGCTAAATAGAATTCTGCCATCTTTATTTTATTGTTTACAACCCGGCTTTTCCTGCTGTGCTATGTCAGAATGTCATTCATGAAGAGGTCTGATCTTCTTCCTTTTCTAAATGTACATATAATACTCTACATTGATAGTCAGTTGGAGCAATAGGATAGAAACCATGAAAACCACTGTTTAATAAACACACACACCAACCAAATCGATTCCATGAAATCTACTGTCCTGAGACTCCTGTCCAGGACACTGGACTCTGTTTTGTCCTGATAACCACCATCACACACTAGGTTCACACACACATGGCTTAAGATAATGACTGCATGCTACATTTAGAGGTCCCGTCTAAAATTGATGATTGTAGTCGCCATGTCATTTATTCATTTTTACCTTAATGTTTTTTTAACTTTTCTGAACAATACTTGCAAAATAACAATTATCATTATCTTGTTGAAGATATGAATCCAATATTTAATTGGGTACAGAGTATGAACTCCTTTATTTCAGTGTTAATGCGAGACCCTCATTTTTTTTGTTTTGCCATTACATTGTTAGTTCACACCATACAAAAGTAAAATGTGATAAGATTAGAGAAGCTCAAACTGTGAAGAATAGTCAGTGAGTGAAGGAATCAATTAATTTATTCAGACAAAAGATTCTTTCTTCTTTTTTGTAATCTTACAGAATCAAACAAAATATAACATGTGCATTTTGCCAGGTTATATGTCAACTGGCTACGAGTCACATTTAGAGGGTATAAGCCACCATTTAGAGGTAATTGTGGTCCCACAATATGAATTATATATTATATATATTACAATATAATGATTTATTTATTGGGTTATATAACATTATTTTTGTTTGTTGCAAATGTAGGACTTGTCTTGTTTATAGGGTATGATGGATAAATGGTTGGCATTTACCTTAAACAACAACTGCTTTTTAATAATGTTTTAACAGAATTGTCGAAACACCGTTTATTGAGATATGTCTCCTATATAAAGAAATGCTATATAATATTTGTTCGTCTCGTTGAAGCTAAATGGTTTTGATTACTGTTTTACATTGTTTCTTAATTAACAGTGCAATGGGTTGAACTTTACGGAGCAGAGTTGTCTAGTCTCAGTAGCAAAGTGCTGGTCATTGATGCCATGCAACTAAAACTAAATTGTATTATACTGTGATTTCTGATTTGTTTAATTTTTATTACAGGCAGCCATCAATGGAGTGATACCACAGGAGAATGGGATCTTACAAAGGTAAAAACCATGTTGTCACACCTTTACAGTAAATCATAATTTTACCTTACAACACTGAAGGAATGCTGCCTCTGATAATTCAGGTTATTTATGACTTTTATGACGTTCTTTATGTTGTCAAATGATCATGTAAAGAAAGTATGGGAGACTACCAGGTAGAAATATGAGGAGTTAGAGTGGCCTGATGTGTGAAGCAACATTCAAAGAACACCGGAAACACGAGACCAAAGCCTGATATTATTTGCAGTTGAAGGTTGGAAGTTGACCTCCTCATCTCAGTGTTAACCAGGAGATGTGAACCTGAAGGTTCAGTGTCTGTTTTAACTCTTTATAGTTTGTGCATTACTTGAATAGGTCGGAAATGATTCGAATACATTGCCCAGCACCGGTTTCCATGATGAAATACAATTTTGTTGTTAAGTGTAAACACGTCCATATACATAGCCAGCAAATAACACTAACTTAAATGGTACTGAGTTGGAGGTTATTGCAACTGCTGTGGTTTCCATGCTGCTGTTTAAGAGAGGAACAATATAAAAGACACTGCAACTGCAAGGAAACTTTCTGCCAAGTATGAAGTTGAGCACAGTGTCTGAATAGAAACGGTTTCTTTAAGAGGCTTTGTGCCCAGCACTAACCTCCAACGGTTAGTTGACACTCATGAATGCAGGGAGCTGATCTTAGCCCACTCAAACTGGAGCTGCTCTGTTAAACCGCTTTATTTTGTGTACACACTTGTGTGTGTGCATGCATGTGCTTTAGTATGGCCCGGGCCATTGGGCCATGAGAATATTGCTGGTCTTTCCTAAGAGGCAAACATTGCTGTGAATGGAGGCTGGCTGGCAGTGGAACCAGTAGCCAGCACATTTTTGAAGTAGCTGGCACTGCAGGGAGTGAGCTGGGGTTGCCCAGTAAACAGACTGATGGTGTGATCGGAGCTCTTGCCAGTAGAAAGCCAATGCTCTTGTCTAAAATGCATTTCCTTCTTTAGTAAGAAGAATATTTAATATTTATTATTGAAAAATGAATTGAATATTCAAAGAAGCTTGCTTGTTGAACAGTAACAAAATCCTTCAGGCCATCAAATCATTACATGGTAGGACTTATATACATAAATGATATAAAATCTGACTCCCCTGTTGACGACAGTCTCTAGTTACCTTCTGTTACCTTTCGATCCCCTCCAGGAAGACACAGCAATACAATGCACTCTTCATGTAGGGCAGCGAGAAAAAAGGCCCAAACTGAAACAATGGACAATTTTATGGCCGTCAGTGTTACTGCAACAAATTAAGGTTAAAGTGCACTCACAAACCCTTTCACTCTTGCTTTTAAATTACTCAGATGCTTTTTTAGAATTTCAAGAATCAGCTTGAGTAAAGTCTGCCTCTTCCTCAGAGTACATTTGTTGTTCAGTTTGGTTCACATTAGTTTTATTTGTACTAAATACAATCTCAACAGCCTTTTGCTAACGCAGCCTTTTCCATTAAATATCATGCAATGCTTAATTTTACTTTATTTTGAGCATTCGGATGGTTTTCAGATGATTTTGTCACAAAGAGGGATTCATCTGTGTTTTTGCATCGATTAACTAGAAAAATAATTTGGTCATGTTAGTTAATATTCTACTTGTCCAAATCTAATTTTAAGAATTTGGATCTTAAAACATTTAGACTGTTACTTAAGTTTGTGGCAGAAAAGATGATTATGATGTGCGTGTACTCTGTGTGTTGGGAGGTTTTAGCAACTGTTGACAGTCGACCTACGCCTCAGGACAGTGGCCTCTCTAATGTGGTGGGCCAAATAAAATACAGCCTTTGTTAAAAAGCCTGACTCTGGCACCCAGCGCTTGTGATGCAGTTGCTCCTTACACTTCAAGGAACAAAGGGCACACTTTGTTCATGGTCAAGACAAGAAAGGACATTATTTACTGTGTTATGTGAAACCTGGATCACAACACTCAGCAAGCAGCAAAGAGAAAATAAAATATTGTAGGAGAGGATGAGAGGGAAAGACTCTGATGTTTGCATTTTCTGTTTTGTTAACATCTGTTGTTTCTTTTAACTTTCCTCTGTCTTTACTTTGCTTTATGATCTGCAATGAAACATTCAGATTTTTTGAGATGTTGATGCCATCAGTAATCTTTTTTTACTTCTGTGACAGTAACTTTTCCAGCGAGGCAAGCCAGGCCAGCATGTACGGACCTCCTAACCAATCAGAAGCAGCCGATGCTGCAACAGCATCAACAGCAGCAGCAGCAGCAGGAGGCACAGCTCCTCCCCCCTCCTCTTCATCCTCTTCCTCCTCTCCACCATCGTCCTCTGCTTCAGCTTTTTGCCCTTTCAACTCCTCCTCCCGACACATCGTAGAGCGTCAGCCCCGGATGCTCAACTTCAGGGTGGAGTACCGGCAGCGTACCGTAGAGCTGGTACTGGAGGAAGGCAGCACAGTCGGTGAGCAACACACACATACACACTGACAGACATACTATGTGTAACACTCATTATAATACACTGCCTTTTGTGCTTAAATGTCAAGCTGAAATACACATTTTCCTCTGCATAACTTTACAGGAGAAATTAAACAAATCCTCGAGACAGAGCTTGGGGTTCCAGTGTCCAAAATGCAGCTGAAGGGATGGAAGAGTGGAGATGTATCTGATAGTGTGAGTTAATAACACTTAATAATATTACTCATCAAACCTACAACTGTGGACCGCACTGAGAAGAAAAGCAGTAACGGTGATATGAGCTCAACTTGAAGTTTTTATATTCTCTCTCTGTGTTGTTTTCGCAGTTTGACTAATCTAAAGAAATGTGATTATTTTTAAATTTCAAATTTCACTTGCATGTAGTCCTAACATTGCATCATACAATGTGCCTTGCCTTTTCACATTTAACATGTTACACTGTTCCTTTTCCCAGACGTTGCTGAGGAGTTTACACCTGCCCAAGAACAACAGCCTCTATGTCCTCACCCCAGACATCGCCCCTACTGCCAGCACGAGCAAAAACAGGTACTTAGCCCAGCACTCTAAGACATGAACTCTGGAGAATGCCTGCACAATGGGGTCCAGACTTTCTCTGGAGTTTCACTTTATACATTATATGAAGAACACAGCAAGAGATTCTTCGGCCAGACACGTACACAACAACACAATGATCTCCTAAACATTCAGGCGAGGGGTGGCTCAGCATGCAGGAGGCAGGACTCAATTTATAAACTCTGCTGCGGACATCACATGTTTTTGTTTGCATCACATCTACACTGGCATCGAGACGTATCACCAAAAGCTCTCGTATCTCGTTTTTTTTCAAGTTGACATCTTCTCTGGTGTTTTCTATAGGTACAGCTCCTTTTTTTAAAAACTTTGAGATATTTGTATTTTTTTCAGTTTTGTGTCTGTTAGGTGTCAGAAACATCATCAACGCATGCACTTGCTCACAGTGACTACTCCAGACAATATCCTGCTGTCGGGTCTCATGGACACATTCAGACTTATTAGTAGTAACTCTAACATTTGCATTCTCACATAACAGCTCTTCCAGATAATTTCAGGAGGATATCCCGAGTTCATTGCATGTCTGAAAGCAGCTTTACTCTTCTCTTTTCATGTGTAATCTCACAGTAAACCCTCTTTCCTCTCTGCACCTACCTTCACTACTAAATATTACTGGTACGGACTTAAATGTAGCATGCACTAGTGAACACCAGGTGGCGATCTCTATCCAGATATGCAGAAGTTGCCTAGAGAATCCAACCAGCAAATTTTCATTGATATATTAAGAGACATTTGACCTGCTGCTGAACATTCATTTTCTCACATCCATTGTGACATTTTGAGAGGAGTGTCTGCTGGCTCAATCTCTGTGTGTTGTGTAAATAATAATTTTCTCTCCCATCTTTGTATCATTAAGCCCGGCATTGTTGCTTGGTGAAGGTTGTTTTGCATCTTATTCTTCTTTCTTTCTTTCTTTGCATAATAGCCACATCATATCCATTATTATTTGTTCTTTTCTTTAAAAACCCAGCCATCTGCCACATCAATGATAGTACCCAGTGACAGCAGTGGTTTGTCGAGAAAGCTTAATTAAGCCTGTTCTGTTCATCACGGTGAATGCGGGGCAGTATTAGCCACCTTTTCTAGTGAAATGTCATACAGCTCACTGTCGGAGCGGTAATACAATCATCGATGGCAGCTGAATGTGTGTGTCCTTTCATCGGTGTCAGGAAAACATCATCTAAAGAAAGTCATATTTCTCCCTTCATTTTACCGGCTTATTGTTGGCTGACCACAAACCTTTTTATTTTTAATTTGAAGATGAGAAATAAATATGAGAGTGGTCGTACTTCAGCGCATGAGATATTCTGTATGTGTTATTGTCAGGTTTGAGGTGTATGTGTGTGTGGAAGATGAGGATGTACTTTTCCACTCCTGTAATTATTAAAGGAATGACTGCATCATGAATCCTATGCTGCTAATAATTGATCGGCCTGACACTGAATTATATTATAATATTTTATTTATTATTTTTGAATCACAAGCAGTGTTGTTTAACAGATGAATTATGTACTGTTGATATTAATAACTATCATATTTAGACATCAGGGGATTTCAGGAAAACTGTCTTTACTGTAACTCTTCTCTTCTTATTTAGTAGTTATATGGCGGCAACATGATTATTAAAGAGACGGCTGTCAATTTAAATCCTGAATACATTTTATTTTTAAACATGCTTCCGTTAAGCAGTGTGTAGTGAAGTTTCAAAATATTTTTTATAATGTAATTATATGATTGACTATATCATTCCAATGTTAAAAAAGGTGAAAAAAACCCATCCTGGATGCACCCCCTTGATTTAATCCACTCCAAAAGTTAATAGTTTCTTCTTTGGCCTATACCCCAACCTTCTACTAAATTCCAAGAAAATGGGTTCAGTGCTTTTTGCATAATCCCGTTGATAAACAGACAAACAGAAAACATGACTATTGATCATTTAAGTTTAATGAAATAGCCCCTTACAAAAAAAAGATGATTTGATAATAACAGGTCTTTTGACTAGTTTCAGTAGTACCTCTGTCAGATCCATGACCTTGTTTAGACAAAGTTGTTTATAGTCTCAATGGTCCATTTTTGTTTGTTGATAGTAGATTAAAAAATGATAAATACACTTGTAGCTCTCCTCATATTTCCTTATGTTCACAGCCAAGCAAGCATCCACATGTCACCAGCACACTTGCAAAAGAAGTCGTTTGGCAGTTTGCCGCTTCGTCCGCTAGTCATGCTAAGTGGTAGTTATATTGTGTTGGCAGCTAATGGCCCACATCTCCCCAGTCATCCCTCCTCCCTCGCTCTCACTCCTCTGCCTCTCCTCATCTCGTCCTTGTGTGTTCACTCGCTGTGTCTTTTTAGCAGCACCATTGCCATTTCCCCAAGTGTTATCGATATTATTTTGGGTGTCAGGAGCTCATTATTTTGTGTCAGCTATTTTCAGTCGAGGTTGAATGGAGTAGGTGGGCTCCAGTGTGTGTATGCTCATGTATTTGTGTATAAATGTGTGGGTGTGACTGAGAGTGTGTGTTCACGGTGACCCTGCTGTCAATCTGGGAGAGGATAGGTGACATATCACAGAACATGAGGGGGGGGAACAGTCCCCTGTAGCGGGACCAGACAAGCTGTTAGCCTGCAGAAAAAATAAACTGTGGTCACACCGTATATCCACAGTACATGCTATGTACATGCAGTGTGTGCTAATTTGTTGCAGTAGGCAGAGCTCAGTGCCAGTAAAGGCCACAACCTAAAGTTTGCAAGTCGGGAAGTACACATTATCAACACCATAGCAACTCAAGGTACTTGTGTTATGATGAAATCAGTCATCTGATCTGGTACTTCTGCATGTGGATGAACAAAATTATCTTGCGTAATATTACAGTTATAAATAATGTAGTCAAATTCATGTATAGTATTTTAACTTTAATTTGATTTCCTCACATTGTCACAAGTAAAATACAAGTTAATGCTATTGTCAAAAATACTTATACTATACTTTGTTTTGCTTTATAAAATTTGTAAATGTCCAACTTGTTCATTGAAACTACCCCTAGCAGTGGCAGTATCAATAGACAGCTTGCATGACACTGAGATTATGTTAAATGACTGAAAAATGATTGTCATTCTGTATTATGACACCAAGATTATCATCTAACATGGAAGGAAAATGTGGATATACTTTTCATTTTTCTCAGTAAAAGTTGTGCTCTGGTAACTGCTGCTGTCCAATAATTTAACCAAAACTCCAGCTACTCTTAAATTTGAATTGGGTCTAATGAAACAATTCCTATATCCTCAACTTTAATTGCCAGTTTGTAGCTGTATCGTGAACAACCATGATCCAACTAACTTTTAATTTCACAATGTTTATCTAGTTCAAATTGTTGCTGAGTAAAAATGCAAATGTGCCGTAAATGGTAATATCCCTGGCAATTACTTTGTGGAGCTTGGCTCTTGCAGCACACACACACCTAAACCAAACCGACTGATTAAATAGTGCTGCTCTGTCATTATGATCCTGCTGAGTAAACTTCTCCTAGTTTTCTTGTTTGATTAGAAATAAATCTTGGAGCTTGGGGAGATTTTCCTCCGAGCACCGATCCATCTCACGTAGTTATTTAGTTAGCGATGTGACGTGCAGTTATAGGACTGCAGTGTTAAAGCCCGGTCTGAAGAAGGTTTTTTCTCTGTGGCTACGTCGATGTTGTGAATACAAGAGGGTGTTGAGGAGGAGCTAATCTCCTGCATAAATGATGATGGCCTGATGAATATTTCAACGGAATCGGTTCCCTTCCTCATTTATTCTCCGCTTCGGCTCTCAGCAAGCATGTTTGCCAATGAAAGGTTATTTTAATTTGAACTCTCCCAAAGAAATTTCAAATTGCAAAAATGATTCATTAGGTTTTCTGTGTTTTTTATCGCGGCCCCCCACACACCCCTCTTCCTCTGTGTCAGCTATGCAATAGCGGATGCACAGATGCTTCAGGGAGCATGCTAACTGGTTAGCTAAACAACCCTGATGGAGGGTATGTCATGGTTATCATGCTGATTAACTTTGGGACGAGATGGCAGACCAAAACCGAGCAGAGCGGTTTCGTATCCTCTTGCTTTGTTGCGGATGCAAAATGTGGAGGAGGTAAGGTGTGTGTGTGCTTCATGACCTCCTCTGTAGGTAGGTGATGCAAAGTGATAAGTTAGAATGTCCTCTCCTGTGTGTGTTTGTGTGTCTGCAGTTAAAACTTGCAAAATGGCAATAAGCATACATGGGTGTGTGTAAGACTGCAGAGAATGTGTGTGGGTATTTGTGTTTTACAGGCACGTCGCATTGTGTGTGCACATGCGTCCCTGTGTCTGGCAGTGCTAGTTTAATAAGAGTCTGCTCTGTGCCATGGGGACTCGCTGCTTAGGCGATAGGCTTACCTCAGAATGAAACCAATCTGTTTAGCCTGCTCTTCTCCCCCTGCAAAACGCTCCATTTCCTCCGTCCATAAAGTTAAATGACATTTCCCTCCCAGCACCCTTATGCCATGTCAAGTACCTCCAGAGATGTCGCAGGCCGACCTTGATGTCACGGTGTGTGCGTGCTGAGTGAGAAAGAGACCTCTGAAGGCAGAGGCAAACACTGAGACATCCACATGTCAACCCTGCACCGCTTGAGGGGCCTGCTTTTATCACAAGACAGCAGCTTTGACAGCATCAGTCCCGACAGGGATATTACACTGGAAACACAGGGTGCTTTGTTTATATGTCAACTAGCAGGCCTCATCAGACAGATGGGAAATGACTCACTGCGTATGGCAGATTTTTCTGAATTCATTTGATGTGTTGAGTTAGTATTTTTGTACCATATAGCACAATAAGTGATTTTTGTGATTTTTCAAAGTACATCTCGAGCAGATACCTACCCACACACGTAGCAAATTGCTCATCGGTCTGCCATAAATGACTGATAAGATGCTCCCTCTTTGCTTGGAAGGACAGAGTAACACTTCCACTCAGTTTACCCTCTATCTCTGTCTATTTAGGAGTCGAGCTGCCTGCCAGCAGTAGCTCGGGACTGTGTCCAAACATAATCATGATATTAGCTAGATCCTTATTTATGTGTCCCTACCCCTTCCATTTTCTCTCTCTCTCTCTCTATCTCTCCCTCTTTCTCTCGGTCTCACACAAACATGCACACACATTTCTCTCATCCTTCTGCTCAGCCCTATTACATATGCATCCATCCTGCACTCCACACATTTCCAATCTCCCCCAGTTAGCTACAACAAACATTACATTTACATATTGATTTCGCAGTTTTAGTCAATGTAAATATGCTGTCATTACAGTAAATTTGAGCTTCTGTTAACATAAGCTCGTCCAGATCTGCACAGATTAAGGGTGTGATTGCATAATTAATGTGTGCGCTACATATTAATTCCCCCATCCCTCTCTTTCTCTCAACTCTTCTCCTCTCCTTGGGTTCTGAGCCCTGATTAAGTGGCTGCTTCGGCCCTTAAGCCTCCCATTGATATTCAGCCTCACAGACCCAGCGTTTGCTCAAAACGCTACTTAACCTCACAGCTTATTGTAAATGAAGCTTCCAAAAGTTGATTCCCCAACCTCCGCCTCTCTACGTGAAGCACACAAAGTGTCTACGTTTGCATTATTCACAGACAGCGTCTCTCACTGCGGTATGGTACTGAACAGGCCTACTGGACAGGTCAGGTCTCCGCAGCCAGGTCTTATTCCACAATACATGGCGTACCCATATCCGCAGCAGGTCTCCAAGGTGAACAGCCTCTGGCGTGTTAGATGACTAACATCTCAGAGCATTGGTTATAGTTGGTGGTCATACACTTATTCATTCAGGTTGATATGGTGTACCACATTTGCTCTATTTCCTCCACCAAGGACGCCATGTTTTCGATCAACGGGATTATGCAAAAAGCACTGAACCGATTTTCTTGGAATTTAGTAGAAGGTTGGGGTATTGGCCAAAGAAGAAACCATTAACTTTTGGAGTGGATTCAATCAAGGGGATGCATCCAGGATTTTTTTTTTCACCTTTTTTAACATTGGAAGATACGGTGTTCATAGATATTTTTTTTATTTCTCCAGGAATAATGCAGGCATATCTAGAAAATTACAGTGTACATGACATGTATCTGATCTCAATACATGTTCTTTATATGCGATAATGGTGATAAAGAGGCAGCTCTGTGGAAGTATGAGCTCTCCGATTGCCCTTCTAATTCCTTTTTTAATATGTCTGTGAATGTGTCAGGATACTAATCATATGAACAATAATTGATTGCATGTTTTTATTTAGTTTCAACTTAAAACAAATATTTTACCTAATTAAAAAGGATGCATTTGACTAAAGTAACATATATGATCATCATTCAATACATTCATCAACAGGTCTCTGGCACAGTAGCCTGTAATACACTCTATGAAAGGATGTAAATTATAAAAGACATATAAGTGCAATAACTTGTTTTGTCAGATACAGAGACAGTCAAGTAGCTAAGTACAGCACAAATCAGGATCTGCTGAAGAGGTGCTGTATTATGATGCACAGTAATAGCTCTATATTTTGCTTCAGAATGAAAATAGCTGAATTAATTGCAGCATTGTCCACACTCCAGGAACAACTGAAAACTGTTTCCCAAAACAATCCAACACCAGGAATTTGACTTTGTTACTGAGGAGTCACTGGTAAAGGTCAACAACCCCATCAAACTATGCTTATGTGATGAATTGTGTTATTCCTTTTTCGTTTGTTACGGTTAAATCTTTGTTTGTTAGCTCAGTAAGGCAGATTGGTGGCCCTCCCTGTGTTTACTGTGCAGGTGGTCATAGCTGTGGTAGCCTGCTGTGCTGAGCGCAGCTCTGGCCAGGCTTGTTAAGACATAACCAATAAAGTGGGCGACAAGCCCCCTGAGGAGGCACCCACCTCCCTGTGGGCCAGCAGGCTGCCACTAGTTGACAAGTTTCAGCTTGCCCTTTACTCGACTCAGTCGCTCTTAGTATTAATGTTTGTCTTTCTTTGCCCCCTTCTTTTCTTTCTGTTGTGCGATTATTCTGCCTCTTTAACTTCTCCCCTTTCCTGCATCACTTACTAGTGTTTTATTTGTTTTATCGTGTTCATCCCTGTTTCTCACCATTTTATATTTCTCCCTCCTCATCCAGTCCTCTCGAAGATTCGTTAAACCAGAACTTTCTGCTGGTCATCAGCCACCGCGAGGCCCAGAGGGACTACAGCCTCAACTTCCCCGGCTCCAAAACCATACAGGAAGTATGACACCAGCACTCACACAGACACAGACCACACAGGACATAAAAAAAATCAGTTACACTGACACGGACAGACACAAACACACACACACACTCTCACACATGCACACACACTCACACACATACATAATATTATTGTACCTCGTTCTGGTTTCCCATACCACAGCTTTCATTCCATTTGCCAAACATTGCTAGTCTATCTCAGCCATCGATTCATTATTCATCACAAATGATCACATTTCCGTGCACATAATTACTCTCACAGCTGTGGTCTGGTACAACCCCCTCTTTTTCTCCTCATTCCCCCTACGCTGCGTCTTTCTCTCGCTCTCTCTCAGCAGTCTCAGCAGTCTAGGAGGCGGCTTAAATGACTGAACATTGTTTGATCTAGGCATGCGGGAGCAATGGAAAGAGACAGAGTCCATTCATTTCACTCATCTGAAACTAAACAGTAGATTTGGCAGCGTATGAAATATTTATAGTTGCTCGTAGTTGACCCAGTGTGAAGCCAGTACACCTCTCTGTCCAGTGGTTATTGCTATCACAGCTGCAAATGGATTTAGGAATGAAGACCATGAAATGTAGATAGGTAAGAATGTGTATATGTTTGTGCTCATGTGAGTTGAGACCCACCCCTCAGGCCGAGGGAGACCTGAGCAGGCATCATTTATTATTCACCGTGGGTAGCCTGCTGTCACAGGTTGGAGGAAATAAGCTCCCCAAAGACTGATCATAGCCACTTTTGAGTTTACCTCACATGTAAATGAAGTAGTCATCATTTTCACCTAATACCGTATATGGGACTGGAAATATCAGTTTGAAGTAATTTCAGTCTTAATGTAGCTGTACATAATTTAGATTTATGGTCAACCTATGGTCTCTAAAGCCCCTTTGCCACTGGCCAAAAAACCCACTAACGACTGGCTTTTATCTGGAATGGGAATTTATTAAATCAGCATTCACTCCCAGGTTAAATGACCCTGCAGCAGACAAAGGTCTTTATTGACTCCAATCGGCACTGATGGAGGTATGACACCCAGGTGAATGCACTAATTTGGGAAGACAGCGAGGTGAGAAAGCACCTCAGTTTTTTTCATTATGTTGGTGATGTAGAACAAAAAAAGGAGGGTAAACTCCACTACTAGCAAAGGGAAAGGAGTCAATTGCCTTTTATTGTGGGTTTACCCACATTTGAAAAAAAAACTTTTTATACCTGCTAATTTTGGTGTAAAAGAGGTCTACATTTATTTATTAACTCCCATGCAGCAGTGAAAGGTGTCAGACTCAGTGTAGGTGAAAGTGAAGATTGAAGTTTGCCTCCTCTGGTTTTTTTATTTCTCCTCCCTCGCTCTTTGCTTCTTCTCCTCCCTCCATCCTCTCTCTCACTCTCCTCTCAGGCAGATGGTTTTGATGAGCACCCACTGTGAACCTTAAGTGTTTCTGCTGGGATTACAAACACTGGGGAGGGGACCCTGCAGTGTGGGAGGGGGGGACTGTGGACGGAGAAAGGAGGCAAAGGACTGTTGGCTTGGTGGGGGTGCTGTAAGAGGACATTGGGAATAGAGAAGAGACAATGTGGGCTTAAACAGGCCTCCATGTTGTGGTCTTTCCTTACGCATGCTTGTCTTTAGGCATCTCAAGGCCCCCCGCAGTGAAAATGAGGCCCAGAACTTTAACCTGCATAGATCTGGACTCTGTTTGCCCCATGTTGATCATGCTCTTTATATATTTACTCTTTAGCTCTGGAACAGGCTTATTATGTGTCAGGAAATGCAAGGACGGAATGAGATGCTACAGGTGCAAGTCATTTGTGCAACCTCTGTGATGTTGGAGTTGGGGTGTGAAAAGCTGAGATACAAGCTAGAATAAGACAAATACAGGAGGTAGAGTTGTGTATTTATGTCATCAGAAGAAGACTTGAGAATGCAACAAAGAAGAAACAGCATAGTCAGCCTGACCAACTCCCCTTTCTCCTCATACTGTGTCCACTCACAGACACATATGGACTCCACTACACAGCGCCTTTTTCTCCCCATTCTCTCTTTTGTCTTAGATGAAGACTTGCCGATGGTCCCTGCTTGTGCATATCAATAGGGATAGAGTCCTGTCTCCTTGTTTGTCTTCCCCAAAGGCTCTGGCTTTGCCTTGTGGCTCTCAGGGAACTGCCCTTGCCCCTCCCTTTCTATCCCTCCATTCTCCATCTCTCTCCCAGTGTCCCCTCTCAACCTTTTCTTCTCCCATCTCTGGTGCGCAGGGATGCGTAGACTCTGATTGGCATTACCAGACAAGAGTGCAAGGATAAGTTGCTGGCTAGCTGCTGAGCTAAGCTGGAGAGCAAATGTTTGCCAGGGAAGTAGAGGGTAGAATAGGGATGGCTTCTGGGCCCTGAGCTGTCCGTGACCAGACCAGTTGTCCTAGGGATTTCCCTCCTCTACTCCCCCCCCAGGGCTGGTCCCGGGCCCCCATCCTTGCCCTGCAGCTGGGAGACACATAGGAACCAAATGCAGACAGAGCCGCGGAGCTGAGAAATAGAGGGCTGGATCGAAAAAGCAATGAAAGAAAGGCATCTGGTGCCTAGGGGAGATGAAGAAAGAGAGGGAGTGAGAGAGCGCTTGTGACTGTTTAATGGAAACCTTTCCTTCTCTTTGATTTGCTTCCAGCCAGGGATTACAGGCAATTGGCATTTACAATGATTGGATCATTAATTTTGCCGTGAGGTGCATTGCCAGCAGCTCAGCTTCACAGCCAGTGTAGTTAATGTTGTGAATAATATTGGCTTCTACACCTCTGCCTCATCTCAACATGTACAGCTGCAGACAAGCAAGCAGCACTGTTATTTTTCATGAAGACATTTGTTCAAATAGTCTTCTGCAGTGTTAAAGATGTTTCTTTTACATTTTAGCATCTTCATGTACAAGTCAGGTTGATGGATACTTTTCATGAGGTACTGGAGTTTTTTACCATCAGGATCATGTTGTATTTATTGAACTAAACAGCCCATTATTATATAGTCACATTATAACACGAGTTTTAGCTTTTAATTGTAAAATTTTTTTTTGTAAAATTAATTACTTGGAGTCAAGGTTTTATATAATTGTTTAAATTGCAGTGTAACTAACCAATGATATTACTGTTTTGGCAGACAGGGGGCAGCATTAGACAGTATTCCTACCTCTGTGATCTATGCTGTGGACAACACTTTGCATTTCATTGTAGCTGGAGACTACAGCAAAAACTTGGTTGCCTGGAGGCTCTAGAGCAAGGTGTTGTTATACTGTTATTTAGCGGCTATAAATTTCATCATACCTTGTTTTCCTTTGATATGGTTGCGTCAGATTTTCATGGCAGCACCATAGCTTTCACATGACGAATAGACCAGTGTAAATGTCTGTGGTGTAGTTTCAGGTGGGCAGGCGCTGCTGTGTAGCTGTGTTTTCTTTCTGTGCTGAGATCAGGTTAACTTCTGCCAGGTGGGTTCTGCTGTCCGTCTCCTCTCTCATCCTCCTCCTCTTACCTCAACTCTCCCTGTGGTTGGCGTTAGTTTGTTGTTTCTCTGATGCTGCTTTAACCTCTGACTGCAGCCTCTTCATTACTAGTGTTTATGCCTCTCCTTGCCTCCGTTTTCCCCTCTATTCATCGGCTGGCCAGCCGGTCACTCAAATCCCTGTAGTCCGGCTGGTCAAACATAGATATTACACTCTGTAATAACACTGGCCACCCGCCCTGACCCCAGACTGCTATCATGGCCATAGCCTCTCTTCATAAGGATAGGTACCGAGCAGTGTGGTTTGGGATTTACGATAGAAAGACAAAGGATGGACTGTGCCACTCATTTATTAGTGTTCTTTTATTTTTTTCTCAACTTGTTTTTACTTCAGATTGCTTTGGCTGTGCCAGGCCCAGAACATAACCAGCAAAGTGGGCGTCTAGTTTCTTTGAAAGATTTATAAATGGACAGAAAATGTACTGTTGCCTCGAAAGATTTAAATATAATTATTTCTTCGGTGCTCTCTGACAACAACATCAGAACATATGCAAGTGCAAATAATCTCAATAGAAGAGTGCCAAGGTGCAAGTGCCTGAGCAAAGTTTACCCCCGCAGTCTTCATAGTTCAGTGTTTTTCTGCCGCTTTCCTGCTTTGCCTGACATTGGCTTTGACTTTGTGTTTGTAGCATTCTTTAAGTTTCCACCTCCATGATCAGCAGCCCTGCATATGCCCAAGGATCCATCTCTCCTCAGTGCTTTTTACAAAGACAGGATTTGGCCCGTGTGTGGAGGGATCTTTGTTCCACAATAGATAGTTTTCTCAGCATCCATGTCCAGCCCTGCGGGCCCAAATGGCAAAATCCTGCCGAACAAATGCACACAATCCATGGCCGCCAGCGCTCAGACGCCGACAGGGCTTTGATCAGCTTCAGCTGGCGCACATCAGGCTGGCGTTAGGGCTTTAAACCAACAACCCACTGGACGGTGTAACACAGCGCTCAGTGGGACAGGCGCTGCTGGCTGCTAACTGTTTAAAAGCAAGGAATGTTATTAAATGATGCAGATACAGCGTCCGCACATCAATGGGAGAAGAGAAATACTGTTCATTTCAGAGCGTGGAGCTGTTGTTGCTGGGCATTAGCAGTGGCATCTGAAGAATGCTGATAACAATGGCTGTCTTTTTTTTTTTTCCTCCTCTGCTCTCCTTTTGACTCATCTCCTCCTTAGTTCTTTTGCCTCCATCACAGTTTTTCTTCATGCTGCTGAATGGAGAGTACTTTGATATAGATGAAATACTTTCCAATAATAATGATAGAAAGACAGTTACTTTTATGGACAGTAAAGAATGATGTAAAATTATAGCGTAAAGTCTGAGTTGAGCAATTTGTAATGTTTTTTTTTTCACCTTTTCCTTCTGAAGTGTTGGTTATCTGACTCATGTATGTTGACTACACTGTAATATGTTTTCTTTGTTTGCAGGTGAAGAGGAACATTTCAGACTTGACAAACATCCCAGTTCGGCATCAACAGTGGGAGGGATGGCCTGCATCAGCATCTGATGACTCTGTAAGAGACACACACGCATTAAAAACCCAATCAAAAATTGAGACTGAGATCTGTAAAATCTGTTTGTTGCTCTTACTGGTTCTTTGGTCTAAGCCTTTGGTATTAGAGATAATTAGTACAGTAAAATCTACAGTGTACATACATTATTGATAACAATTGCAAAGAGCAGTGGAAACAGTTTGACACTCGTTCTGTTTCTTTGTAATCCATGCTCAAACCATCTGTCAGAAGCATGAGAGTAAGATGTTGAAGCTAATTAAGATGTCAAAGACGGTTCCCGTCCTGTGTCCTCTATCTGTGGACATTAAAGCTCACATCATTGAGTCCCGCTGACCTCTCCCATCCCAGGGTCGCTCTTCCCTACTATTCACTCTGCCCACAGTCAAGCTGATCAGAAGTGGCCCTCATACAGAACCTTGAGGAACCTCTGACCCCTTTTGTCTCGCCCCTTCTTTGACAGCATATGTGTTCCCATGCTAATTGTAGGGGATGGTTTATCATGCTACATTGAGGAGCTGTAGTGCACACATTCTTGTGTTAACCCCTAGCTAACGTTTTCCTTTTAGATCTATGTGATTGCTGTTTGGTTGGAGTATTGACTTTGTTTCTTTTTTCCAAGTGTTATAATATGCGTCCTATTCCAGATACCAAATTCATACCTGGAATTAAAATGGATTTTTGGTCATTGGCTTGCACCTGGTTAAAGCTTGATCACATGAAATTACAGGTAGAACACGGTGAAGATGGAAACTTAGCTTCTCATCTGTCTTTATTTGTCTTTTTTTCTCCTCTCTTGCAAATGAGAGGATGTGACATGAGCTAAACAGAGCAATCTGATCGCAATGTAGACACTGGAGACACATATTAAACCAGGTGTAAATGTAATAAGGTTAAAATTATATCGAGTGAGACACATGTTAATGGCAGGTGTAAATGAAGTCAAACTTGGCTTTACGACTAGACCATAGCATTTTGATTTATATTTTAAATTGCAGTGCACATTGTGCACATTAATGATGACCCATTTTCTATACACAGTTTATTGGTGAATCCAGTCTATTCTATTTGTCATCTGTTATTCAAGTTTAAAAAAATAAGGGAATAAACACTAACTATACCCAATTTAAGACTCAAAGTAAAGCATTTTACAGAGAAGGCAAATATATTGCAACACCAATGTGCTTAAAAGGGCCCATTTTATCTCACAGCAGGCAATGGTGAACCTATTAACCACCAAACAGACCATACTATAAAGCAGATGTATCATATTTAGGACCATCGTTGTAGACATCCAGTTATGTGATCAAGTAAATTTCAAAAGTAACATAATGACTGACCTAAGTTTTGAGTAAACGTTCTTTTGGAGTTATTTTTTTTTATTAGTCAAGGATGAAAGGAAACCATTGAAATATCTAATTAATTGTTGGTATTAATAATAAGTTTCTTTTATAGTCCAAAATAATAAGACTGTCAAGAATGAATATTTATAGAATCTGTTGTACAGTCACTTACAACCCTGACAAACACCTATACAGTTTCTTATTCATACAATTATCCACTCAGCCAATCATGTTACAACAGATGCAATGCAAAAAACCTTGTAGATACAAGTCAGGATTAATGTTTACATGAATCATCAGAATCAGGATGTCTGTGACTTTGGCATAATTCCTGTTGCAGCAGTTTTGTCGTTCTCTCAACTTGATCTGATGAGAGTTCAAAGGAGAATGACCTGACTGGTTCAGGCTGACAGATTAAGAACAGGCTATGTTAAGAACAGAAATCTGACGCTAATGTGGTCACAGGCTCATCATCAGTGGACATCATCACTTAACTGTATTTTTACTGAGACTGCAGATGGTAGAGCATCACCAGTATGAATCTGTGCACCCATCCTGCCTTGTGCCAAACATCCAGACTGATGGTGGGGGTGTAATGGTATAGAGAATATTTTCTTGTCCAACTTTGAACCCCTTAATAACTAATATTGAATGCAACGACCTAAGAATCTTTGCTGAACATGTGCCTCCTATTATGACGCCCTTAAAATGTACTATTTTGTAATGGTCACTTCCAGGAGGATTATTCAGTGTTGTCTCAAACTGGTTTCATGAACATGAAAACCAGTTGAGTGAATTTAATTGGCCTCCCCACACAGACACCAAATCGTGAGTCCAGTCGAAGACATTTGGGATGTGGTACAATGAGAGGTTTGCATCATGAATGCACTCATGTCAGTATAGACTAGAATCAGTGACATGAAGAACTGAGTCTGTTTTCAGAGTAAAGGTAGGCTCAAGCAGTAGGTGTAATTTTTTCCTATGGAATAAATACAAACTTACATCTCTAAAAATGTAACACACTGATTTTATACATTTATAGTATAGTATTCTGATGTGGTTCATTTGTAAAAACATGTAAGCTAAGCACTAAAAAGCTTTTAATAATGTAAATAATTCAGGTCTTTCTATCTCACTTTTTGTGTACTCGTCATCAGTGAATCTCAGTCCGTCCCTGTAGGTAGCTATGAATATCACAGATAGGGATCATGAATAGGTTGCAGCTCATTGTGGCATCACGGTCCCAGTCGGCACCTGGCTAACACACATCTGCAGCGCCTGTGTTTCCTGGATGAGGAGATATTAAAAAGCACAGAGACAGAAGTGTAATAATGGCCTCTGCTCTAGCCACCACTCTCTTATTGAAACGTCTGAAGGTATTAGCAGAGAAAGCCCGGGGCTTGGCCGGCCTAGCGGGCGGGTAGGGAGCCAGTATTAGTGTCTAGCTCATTAGCCCAGTCTCATCTCCTGAGGTTTGGGCCAATAAACATGGCAGCCAGAGGCCCCAGATTACACTTAGCTCTGCACACTAGCCCCCTTGCAGTGGAATCGATTACTACTTAACTTTGTTTTGCCTTTGATCGTGTGATATAACTGTTTGTCCGCTTGCATTTTCATTTGTGTGTGTGTGTATATTTGCATTTGTGTGTTTGCGAATGTGCCTGTTTTTATGTGCATCTTAACACTTAGTTTTGGGAATAATATACAATTTTCTAAAGTGTCGTTCATACCTCTTAACTGTGTATGGAAGAATTTGTTGATATTTGGTTTAAATGGAAAGATTAGTGTTTTTATAGATCCATGTTGGTTGCTCATCAGTTGGATAAAAAGACAAAAAATTGTAGACCATTCCGTCAGTTGTTTTTTGAGGTTATTTGAGTTGTTTTATTGTTGGTTAAATTATGTCATGTATTGTTCGAGCATTTAGGAAATTAGTGTGTTTTAAAGACATTCTCACCTTTCAGGGAAACAAGCAGTCATGTGTTGCATCCCCCTCCCTTATACAGTCTACTCAGTGTGTTTCATTGTTTATTGTGCTCTGAATTATTCAAGGCCTTATGGAGAGTTGAAATTGGATCAGGATGGATAATGCTCAAATAGCAGTAAGCGACACATCAGTTTATTCAGAGCACCGTGCTATTGTAAGTGGTGTCGCACCAAGGAATGTAAAAGGAAGTGTAATTAAAGCAGGATGCGATGGGAGCTGTTGCTCATTTCTCGCCTGGTAGATTTGTTGACCTTGGTCAAATATTAATTTTCTTAGTGTTTATGTAGTGAAGATGAATCACAACACTGTAAAAACATGAACTCCAACAATCAGTTATCTCTGTTACAACACATTTTTAATGCTTAACTTCTACATTGTGAGCCTCTTCTACAATGTGGATTCTAAGAAGTAAGCATCTAAAACATTGACCCAGTTTAATTTTTTTAGTTTCATGTGTGATGCTGGTGAAACATTTACCCAAAGCTGACCTGACACATGAAATTACACCTATGACCATAGACTGTATGCCTGTGACTCATTTTCAGCAATTAGAATTTTTCTTGAGCACATTTGTAGGTGCTGTAATTACAGTGTTCCTCACAGATTAATTACAGGTAATTTGTTTGCACTATTTAGCAGAGAAAAGGATCATGTGGGGACTAACTATATTTTTTGTTTACTTGCTTTGTTGTCTCTACATCTCAACATTTTTCTTAGTTCTCTGGGAGAGACAACTATTCTTGTTGGATTTTAGGGTTGTTTAGATTTTAGGGCCATATTAAAGAAATGTTTTTATTTATTTTGGGAATAATGTAATATTATAGGAATAAAGACGTGATATATTGTGAAATAAAGTAATTATATTACAGTTAAAGTGGTAATTTAAAGAAAAAAATATTACAAGAATGAACTCATTCATAATATGGCAAGAATAAATTCTTAATTTAATGAGGAAAATTCTCAATATTACAAGAATAAATATGTAACTTAATATTAAAAGATATTTAGGGGAAATGTTAGGAGAATAAAGTTGTAATTTAATGAAAAATACAGGTATAATATTACAAGAATAAAATGGTAATATAATCTAAAATAAACTCATAATATTGCAAGAATATAGGCATAATTGAATGAAGATTCAAGTCATAATATTACAAGAATAGTGGTAATTTAATAAGAAATTACATCATAATATTACAAGAATATTAATACAGAAAATATAAAAAAAACAAAAGTCATAAAGTGATATTTTAATTAGGAGCAAAAAAATCATAATTTTACGAGAATAAATAAACATTATTTCGGAAAGAACTAGCAAGAAGAACTTGTATATGTTTTGTTAAGCTTGATGGTTCTCTGATAGAAAAGTACACTTGGTGGATTTTGCCATAGCTAAAATGTAATGGAAGTAATTACCCCGGCATGGTTTTTTAAAAACCCTGATTTTGTTCTGCCCCCATGTTCCTCCTGATTGTTGTCTATGATAAAGCTGTTCTAAGCTGTGCTGAAGATAATGACAGAGGTCATGGCAGCATCTGATTTGAGAGGCCAACATCCTGAGACGTCAACTTCCTGTACTGGTTGAGTCTCTTCCTCCCTCTGCTCCTCTTGTATCTTTTTCTAAACAACATAGCGTGGAGAATTTCTTAGAAGGCCTCATTGCTTTGGAGTTG